GGCGGGGCTCAAACGCCACCGTGGATATACTATACTACATATATATACGACGTCCCGAGGAGCGAGTTATGCCCATATTATTCCCGGGGCTTTCGCTCTAGTCCGGGTCGCGGAGGAAGCAGTTCAACGGCATTAACACCACCACCCAACACCCAACCCGACTAAGGGGGCGTGTGGGGGTGTGGGGCATAACTAACTGGCAGTAATATAATAACAGTGCGATCTTTTAAGCGGAAAGTCACTATTGATTTTTCTCGCTAAAGTTACCTCATGTTCAGAATCTTAAAACAGCACTCTCGAAGCCATGTGTGTGCGGGCGGACCCACTACGCGAAAACGAAAAAGGAAAAATAAAGAAATAACACACTTCCATTAAGATTAACCCGCCGACACAGTTATTTCAGTGACACAGTGGACTGGCAAAGCTGGCCAACTTCCGCGGGAGCCAGACCAGCTCTCTTAAATTCTTTGTCGAAAAAAAAAATAGGAACAAAGAACACCCTTTTGCTGCCTCCCGCTTTTGTACCGTCCGGCCGGAGCCACACTGAGTTCAATTAGAATAATGAAAGGCCACGACGCAGACGGACCTGAGCGCAGACAATCAGTTTACCGACCGCGAAAATTCAGGTAAAAAGAGGGAGCGAGAGGGAACACTTTTGAACGCAGTGGATTGTGCTTTTAGGGTCTTAACGATAACAATTAGCTTTTCCGCGCGTGTAAAAAATACTGCCTATCCACCGAAAAGAGGACGAGTGGCAAAATTGATGGCAGTGTGCTGCGTCGGTAGGCCGCAAAACTTGACCGAGACGCAATCCTGCGGTGGCTGGACTTGGCAAAACCGTAACCTATTCGTAGAGTAAACTGGCTAAGGAGGAGGAGCAGCAGGAGGCCTCCTCCGGTTGTTGGGGACGGATGCAGAGCCCCCTGTGATGCTGACCCTCCTCCTCCTCCACCCTTTCTCCCTTTCTCCCTTCCGGAGCCCACGAAAGTTTCCACCAACGCTCGGGGCAGGGCAGGTCAGCCATCGTCTGCAGAGTTTTGCTACAACTCCGACTCTGTCCATCTGGCCGCCGCCTTCCTGCCCGCCCGCAGCGGATGACTGTTGTTACCACGTGCGTCAGAGGGAGGTTGACAGGTCAACGAGCCCCGCAGTGCGTGGCGACGGCGTGATTGACAGGTCATTGCTTCATCTGCCATGGAGGTCGTGCACCGCACGGGAAAAAACATATACGGCGTCAGAACTAATAATACATTTGGCTAATTTCTTGACTATCCCGAAATAAGCGGCATAGCTAGTTCTGACAATTTTTTTGTTCGTGCGCTTCTAGTCCTTAGAGCACCATTCATACCAAGCACAAGTCGGTCCACACAAAAACAAAAATGTTTTGGTACACCAAACCTCCGCAAGGCAAGAATGCAAGCAAAGGCTTTCAATGACAGAAAGAAAGAAAGACGGTGAACGACACACACACACACACACACATGCGCACGGCTCAGGAAAGGAAAGAAAAATTGACGCGGGCAAATTGTTTGCAGGATGAATAGCTGGAAGGGACACAAGGGGACGAGGGGCCGAGTTGGCAGCGCCGCCGCATAAAGTTCGTCCATGCAAACCGACTTGGCCTCCTTTCCATCGCCGACTTTTGTGACCTTCCTCCCACGGACGGGTGGGGCAGGGACCGGGATGGGGCCACCTACGGCGATAGCTGTTTGATTCTACACGGCGTGAAAAAAAAGTGGTGAGGAGTGAAGAAGGCCGCCAACCCCGGCAACTGTAATCTGTAATAAATTTTGAAGTTAAATCAATGTCGAAAAAAAAGACGTTGTGCGTTGCGTGCTCGTGTCGCTAGTATGGCTGTGTTGCGGTCGTGTGGGGCTTCACAAATGGAATTTTCGCCCGCCGCAACTCTGCCCTGCTGCGCTGCTGATGCCCGTTCCTTCCCCTATCCGTCCGACCCAAACCTGCGACGGTTCAACGGCCGTAAGGTATGACATTCCATCGCAGCCTCTTTGGCGCGACATTTGACTTCTTTCCTATCCTCCTCTATCACCCCCCCCCCCCCCCCTCCCCATCTTCCCCTCCCACACACTGTAACCGCACAGGCTCTCAGACCGAAGGGTTTCCGGGTCGCGCACTTCCCGCGCACACGTTTTGATGGGTCACGCGCTACTACTTGCCATTCCCTGTGTGTTTTATTGGACACGCTGTGGCCGCCGCAGCCGCTGCTGCTGCTCGCACCTGCCAGCGGCGCCAAGAGCTTTTTTTCCTCCGCTGACCGTAACTGCGGGGAAACGCTTCTTTTTTTTACGTTTCTTAAAATGCAAATCGCTGCCAAGAATACTATGAAAAGAGCACTTGAAAATTTTCAGACGTTTCTTTAATCCCAGCGACAAAAATAAAGCATGATGGAAAATAGTATGATTTTATACATTTTTAAAATTAGTTGCATTGGCTATACGGTCCAGAATAATTTGTTTACCAACGCCTCCGCCTGAGCGCTTTATGGCTCTATCCGCGGGGTGGGCCGCGAGCGCGTAGCTTAGCGCACCCGCGCACCCCGTGCTTCCAACACCTCCTCCTCCTCCTCCTCCACTGGCCCGCTACAAGACACGGCGGGAAGTGGCGCGCAATGTTTCATTGCTGGATTTCCGCCAGCCCGCGGCTCGGCCTGGCCCACCCCGGCCGGTGCGCCCATCCATTGTATCGCCATACACAAGGCTGGCGGGTGGACGATCTGCCCCGCCGCGCCAGGCACAGCGCGCGGCCACACCGGACTGATACATAGTTACATAGGGCGGGATGGGCCATTAGGCGCTAAAGCGCGTAAAACTAACATTACGCTCGTCCTAACGCGCGGTGAGAGGACGGGGCCCGGTGGAGGAAGAACACACAAAAAAAGTAACGAACTGCTTTTGCCACCCGGTATGGCTCGCCGCTGCGCATACCGTACCGCGGACGAAATTTTAAACGTGCTGCCATGCCAGGTGCTTTCATATTTCGAGGCAGGCAGGCACTTTTTTCCGCTTTTTTAGCAAATTTCAGCCAAGAAGTACTTTTTAAGGGTGATAATTGAAAGACAGACAAAATTGCGGAGAAATTACTTGTGGGTTGGTATGAAATATCGGAAACGCTCAAAAACTTCAAACTGCCAATTCTGTTGCTCATCTGTAGTGGAAAGAATAAACTGCATTTTGGTGCTGAAGCACACACAACAATACGTCCCGAACCTCGTTTGAGCCGCCGACAGAAAAAATACGCGCGCCCTCTCGACGATGCGACATTCCCACTCACCTTTCAACGTAGTCGCCCTCGGCGTGGTCCACGACAGCCATCTCGCTGAAGACGTAGATGCGGGACGAGCCCCGGTACCACTTGACCGAGTGCACCGTCCCGCACGACGCCGTGTCCACGTGGCACGGCAGCTGCACCGTCTCGCCCACCAGCCCCGATAGGTCTCGCTGCTGCAGCCCGCCTGGAACACACAAACAGGTGGAGCGTTTAGAGCAAGTGGGGCAGACGAGCACGTTTGTAAGGGTGCGCCGATAAAAAAAAACAAACAGTGTGAACAGGTCGGGGAAAAGTAAACAAAAGTCGCGACAAAAGGACAAGTTTGTGGTATAGTTACACTGATAAACTAAGTGAGAAACTGCAAAACACTTGTAAGTAAATGCAACTGCACGTGAAATACTTGCAAGTGTGCAACTCCGTACTTGTATATTTGTAAGTGTTGAACTCGGTAAGTGTGCGTTTGCAAGTGTGCAACTCCTAAGTTGAGCACCTCTTTAGATTGAACGCTCACTGTGCAGTAAGTGTGCTCAATTGAGAAGTTGCAAGTGGGCACAACTATGAAGTTGCACTCTTGGAAGTATTCAACTTGCAGTTGCACACTTGTAAGTATACATCTGGCAGTTGCACACTTAGTTCATAAGTGTAGAAACAGACTCGCAATATGGTAAGTCATAATCTTAGTTTCTAGAAACAAGACTAGAGTGGACACGTTGTGCATTCCCGGACCATGTGTGTTGTGTCACTGATGGGAAAAGCGCCAAGCCAACACATAGGAAGGGAAAGTAACCCAAACAGCAATTTTAGAACGCTGACAGCGCATCATATTTTTGCACGTCTCTGTCCTTGTCAAGAGCTCTCCGCCGTGCCGGCCGGAACCAGACCAGGCAGCTCCATCACTGCGGGGGCACTACCGCGTCGAGAGGAACAGGTGGCCTGGCCATCCGGCTTGTCGCTTTGACTGAAGAGTCGTTCGGATGAGTCTCCACGGGAGGCGTGGCGGGGCGGGGCGGGGCCGAGGTGCTTCGCGGCAGGAAGGCGCCGCCGCCGACCTCTCCAACGGCAGAATGATGGGGTTGTATTCGCTGGCCGCCAGCCCTGGCGAGGCGCCGGCGGCGGCAGGGCAGTGCGGGACAGCCAGGAGGGGTTGGCAGCCTGAATGGCTACCTCAAAACTATTAGCCGGCCAAAAGGGGTTTCACTGCAGGGGGTGTAGCGGGGGGCAGCGCTCGGCCAGGGTCCCGGCCAGGGTCCCGGCCAGGGTCCCAGCCGGCGGAAGGGGCGGCGGCGGCGGCGAGAGGAGCGGCTCAGGGGCAAAGGGGCCCTCAGAGAGGCCCACGGGCCCCAGCCGGGGCCGCGCAGGCCCTTTCATTGTGCCGGGAATTATCCACCACGACGTTTCCACAAATGTTCTATTACTGAGGCAATCCCGGCTACAGAAACCACTCCTCACGGCGGATTTCTCCCCCCCCCCCTTCCCCCACAACCCTCTTCCTTTCCCGTCACGCCCGGACCACGCGCCCGACCCGCTGGGAGGGACAGGGCAGGCCATGACTGCCAACGATCGTAGTCATAACAACAATTACTCGCGAGCTCGTATATTGTTCCAAAAATAGTTTCATTTCGAGCATGTTGCTTCAGTTCCTGGAGCACTACTCGGCGGTGAAGTCGCCTCACACTATCACCCCAAACACGACAAACAAACCTCGTGCGCTACCTACAGTTAGCTACCTATAGAAAGAAACAAAAACTGAGGCCGGGAGCACTATTGGCGCGCATGAACAACAATAGAAACAATGATGAAAGGAATACACGACGCACAAAGGGTAAAAAGGAACAGGACAAAATAATAAGATCGTAGCGTTTGCACGATGTGGCACTACTTCAGAAACAGAAACAATCACACGCAAAGGGTGACAGCAGCCCTCACCAACGAGCAGGCAAATGCGTCCCACTCTCCGACCTGCTCCCAACCCCCTCTTCCTCTCTCTGATGATCGAAATTGGGGGGGAAGGGCTCGTTTCCTCGCACAGATATACCGCCGACTCCTCGGCGGTGGTTGAATGGGGCAGGATAGGTGGGCCACACTTAGGGTTAGAGGAAGCACTTGGCGTGGCGGGGCGTGGCGGGGCACGGCGGGGTCTGGCATGAGCCCAGTGCCTCATCAGGCCCATGAATAAGGGACCCCATGAGTCGGGCGGCGGTCGGCCCCGCCCCGGATTGCCGGTTGTATAGTATATATAGGGGGGAAAAAGCCGCCCGCTACCGTTTCCAGATCAATATTCAGTCGTGTCAAGGAAGGAAAGGGGTTTTGTGGCCCATCGAAGCCCTCGCCCATGGACGGC